CTCTTCCACTATTCTCAGAATCACAATACCCACTTTTGTACTGGTTTTACATTATATTTCTCCATGATATTATATTGTGTGAAATGTAATCCCATTTCCTGGATAATTCTTACTTCTATTGTTGTGATAAATCACTATTTTAAACAGAGCTCAAGGCATAAGGGGCAATTTGTTTTTAAAATCAGTTTGCAACCAGCTCAAGAGTTTTACATTTTATCGTGTCATATTCTTGAACACCTCAAGTTACCAAGTTTTTTTTGCCTCTAAAATCTTGTTTCTAGTTGAGGATAACACACTTTTTTCTCTGTATGTGCCCTTGCTGAATTTGACACATTTCCATGCCACTGAGCCTATGCCCCTGACCTTGGCTGTTCATTAAAATGATCATTTACGTCCATCAGATTGAAGTGTCTCCGAATGACACAATGTGAACATATCCACAGACACAGATGCAGCTCCACAGCTACTATACTCTGGTACAACACATCACATAAACACTTTGAAGAGGCACATGCAAATACTATAACCACATCCCTATACCACAAATGTGAAACCGTACAACTGTACATTTCTTATCTGGATGTCAAATCTCCATATTGTTTCTTATCAGTGTCTCTATAGTCAAGAGAATAACCTAGAAGGTGTATCCTATTGTTCCAAGTCTTACATTACAGAAATCACCTTGTCATTCTGTCACAGCTTGTGCTCTGCATGCTTTTTTGGCACAATCTGTACTTTGATATTAATCCTTTTTAAACATCTATAAACAGTATAAATATCTCATATCCTCCAATCAATTCCCCTATCTTGTTCAACTAATCCACTATTCTTTTTTTATTTAAGGCTGCTGTGACCAAGTGCCTTAATTCATCTCAATGTATCGCATAATAAATTAAAATTGAAATTAATTAGCCATGTTTGAGTTAATAACAAAAAAAAATCAATTTACAAACACCCATCTACACTGTAGCTGCTAATTGATCACTGATGACTGGAGGGGATATTGGTCAACACACACACACACACACACACACACACACACACACACACACACACACACACACACACACACACACACACAAAAGACGCTTACGGTCACTTCAAAAAACAAAATCACAACCTTTTCTAAAATAAAGTCTGTTGTTTTTAATTTACTTCTGCATCGTAGCCAATGAATGTAGCAGATAGTGACACACAGACAGTAGAAAGGGCACAGCTCAAACTGGTTGTCAGATATTAATGGACGCTATATTACCTGGGAAGTAAACCTCTGTATGTGATAAAGTGCAGTGTCTCCTGCTTCAGGCAGCTCTACCACTTAAGAGAAAGAACGTTAGCAGCAATGTTCAAGATATTTAGAAAGATGTTGCTCATACTGACAAACTCTCACAAGTCTGCTTGGTGTAAACTTAAAAAAACTTTATCAACAGATGTAAAATATCAGATTTTTTATTTCACTTTTCGGAGACTTTCTTTATAACATTTCAAATAAAGCTACCAAATTAATTACTATATTGAAAAAGTAAATGGCAATAACATCCTATACCCATTGATGACATCAGAGTCACCATGACCAATGACCCTGTACCCTTAGAGCACTTAATTATTCGCAATGGTACTCAAATCAGTTAAAAATAAGACACATGCATATTCATCAAATTCTATACAATCTGTATTTTCCCCAAACATTTAATATTATATACTGTTACCTTAAGTGGATCACCTCACAGTTCTGCTCTCTTTGTGTGACTTAGACATTAGATCATATGAACAACTAAGTACAACATAATAGATACATCTTGTTTGATGCCTATCATTCCAGCTCATGAAGTGGGGGGTGTGAGGGGTGTGTGTGTGTGTGTGTTGGGTGTGAGCCGATGGTGTAAGCTGTCTGTAACACTGTAGGCTTGATCCAACCGAGTGAGGTGAGGGTTTGGTGTGAAAGCAGCAGGATCCAATTTACCCTGATGGCCTCGCTTACTGATTTTTTGTGTTTTGATGGACAACAAACACCAACCTGGCACCCCCACCTTGCACCCATCTAACTTTAAATCCACAAATACACCTTTCACCCGTATCATGGCGCCAGCTAATGTTTCCTCACTGTCAAATCATACTCCCATAAGGATGGTGTATTCACCCCACCCTTCTTCTGTTTCTCCGCAGCACCACATCGCCACGCAGGAAGAGGACCATGATTGACAGCCGGGCAAGCTGAGGAGACCTGTCACTCATCTTCCTATCAGTGTGAAAGAGGGCTATCTCCTTCTCGCCTTCCCCCCCCTCTTCCTCCTCCTCACTTCCACCCTACCTAAATCCTCTCGTCTTATCTACTCAATGGTCTGGTAACCTCACTATCCCTCATAGTTATCCAGCACTCGAGAAAAAGAGACAGAAGTAGTAAAGAAAAACAACGAGACACTTCTAAACCTTCCCTCGCTCCACCTGAGGGGAGCTTGGCATGCCTCCTCACTCCAGTTGAGTGAGTTGTAGAAAGAGGGATCCCTTGTTAGTACAGAATACAGGAGATACAGCTCCTCGAAGAAGGAGCCCAGAGAGGACCAGTCATGCGTTTCCATTTTGCGCTGACGCTGTGGACCAGCGTGTGCCAGGCCGTGCAGCACTACCCCGCCGCATGGGGCCACTACGATTTGTGTAAGTTCCAGATTTACACAGAAGAAGGCTTAACCTGGGACTACATGGCCTGCCAGCCAGAGGCCGCAGACATGACCCAGTACCTAAAAGTCACTCTGGATCCCCCCAACATCACCTGTGGAGACCCTCCGGAGACATACTGTGCCCTGGTGAGTACAAGTCAAGGAACAGCTAAATATTCCCTTTTTAAAAATTGCACACACACACACTTCATTTCAAGGCAGCCTTTTTATCTGTGGCCATGAATCGTGTGTCTTCTCGGCTGGTTCTGACCCCACAGCCATGACAGTCACGTTCAAAGCCTCAGCGTGGCTCAGATATGTTGCCGGGGCTGAGGGAGTAGAGAGGCGTGTGCCCATTGACGTCACGTTCTGCTGTTTAGAGATAGCTACTTCCAAGAGTGCACTGCACTGTCTCATGTGCCGATGATGCTCTTTACTCCCAGAAAGAGCATGTTATTGTAGCTTCTCTGTTGTATCAGAAATAAGATGAGTGGGTGGTCTAACATTTAAAACACTCTCCGGGTGAAATAGTGCAGAGGTGGACTATAAATACAACAGCATGTTTGAGAAGTTAAGTGGAGCACTGTTTGAAGTCCCAGTACACCATTTTTGTTTGTTTTTCTTACATTTGGCGGTACTTCTGCACGTGCATTGTGCATTGCTTTTTAGCTTTTTTTTACTCAAACATAGCAGTCCAACGTAATCAAATTCACTGTCAGGATTTATTATTAGCCAGTATGGTTTTTTCTTGTCCTTAAAATGTTTATTTAGGGAATTCGGTGACACTGTGTATTGGAGACAGTTGCTCTCCATTTCAGCATACTGTATTTGCCTTCCTGTGAGAAATGAATATCAGGCAGTGTCAGATTTCTTTGGTGGTCGACATGCAGGTTCGTTTTGTGACTTTGACCATGTTAGCAGGCTGTTTTTAGCTCAAAACACCAAATCGCCTGGGCCAACCTCACAGAGCCAGCTGTAGTTCTGTCCCCCAAAAATACTGTATAATGGATAATGAAGTACTTCCCTATTTTACAGTAGAATCAAAAATAAAATAAATCAAATAGCATTTCCTTTATGACAAGAATTTCCAGGTCAGCTTATTTTCTTGCAGGAAGTTGCTATGTATTTTTATAACCAAAAACAGGTTGAGGGTATTTTATTATTTCAATTAGCTTTTTGTCTGTTTAATTTAACCAAACAGAATGTCAGGGTTGTTGAATCCCTGAACACATTTCCCGTGATCGACTTGTTGATGAAAGGCTCCAAAGTGTTGCATGTTAGTCTAATCCTGATTACTTGAAAGTGATTTTTTGTCGGATGAGAGGCATTTCATATTGAAATAGCACAATAAAGAGCAGTGATTGGTTGATTGCTTTACCCTTTGAAGTTCACGCGGTGCTGTTGATTCTGCAAATTACACTGCAATCATACAAAAAAAAACACAAATTCCTTGAGGAGCTGAAACTAAATGAGCAAAGAAGATGCATATTAGGTCAAGTATTTAATTAGCAAGCCGCCCTCCTCCTTATTCCGGCATCTTTTCAATTTGAAACTCACAGCTGGTCGCCTCATCTTAACGCTAAATGATGAATCCATTTTGGGCCGTCGTGTGTTACCAAGTCATCAAAGATTCTCTCAGAACAAATGCACTCCTCAATAGCTTCAAGAGCTCTTTAGATAAATAGAAAGATGTTCGAGGGAAAGTAGTAACTTGAGAAGTATAAATAGACGGTCGCCATGAGCAGAAAGTCAGCTGAGAGGAGACACAGAGAGATTAACAAAATACAGATGACAAAGACAGCGAGAGAATGATCAAGAGAGGCACAGCGAACATGGGGGAGACAGACTCAGAGGACTATGTGCAAAGTATACGGTGACTGAAGAACTAATATCTCCTGTGTGGGGCGGGATGGAGGCTCCGAAATGTGAATAATTCAACATGTTTTGTAGCTAATGTGTTTTATTCATAGGACACATTATTCAGCCCGACATCTCTCAGGCACTTTTGAAAAATGCTGACTCCCATGATCGGCCAAGGTTGGTCGAAGGCGAAGAAGGTTGGGGCAGGGGGAGGAAGCCGAATCTGGGAGGCCATCGTCAAAATGGGGTCATCATCCGTTCTCCCTCAGGGGATCATTGTGACCTCAGGTCGATCCTCATTTGAACCTGAAATGTGTCCGCTGCTAGCTGTTCAGCGACTGTTTTGTGGATAAAGTGTATGAATCCTGCGTCAACAGTGGACATTCTTGCTGATGTTTCGGCGGAGGTGTTCTATTGCTGGACGCACAGTTGAAACAGAGTTTATTATTATTATTGCCAGCCGTTTAACAGTCTGATGATCGTTGATTGAATCAGAGGGAGATTGCGCCGCGCTGCTGCCCTCTTGTCTCCGGCAGTCAATGTGAAAGGAGGGCTTCAATTAAACAGGTTAGTTCCAACATAGCCATTTCCTCTCTCGCTGTACTGTACTCATCACAAATCAGTGAAATATGACCCCTGCCGCTTGCCATAGAGTCTCTGCAATTGGTTTATGTTTACTCCGGGCAGCTACATGGCTCCAAATCAACATCGGAACAATTATCATTGATATTCCAGCTACTTGGCTGCCAATACGCTGCTGCCATGCCAATAGTGCTTTGCATCGTAAGTCAGATCATTGCAGATTCAGGGCAATTATCATTAGGCCGCGTTATCGGAGAATTTCATCTTTCTGGTAATTGATTCTGCGCTCGTACAGCCGGGTGTATTTTAAAGTCTGCTTCCTGAAGGTAACGGACACCAAAGCCTGGCGAGAGGAGAGAAAGGTGGAGAGAAAGGTGGAGAGAGGTGCAGCAGCTCCAGGGCGTGGCGCTTATATGAGCTAAGTTTCCTCGGGTTGCGGCCTTCATATCCCACACACAAACACACACATTACACATCACTCTCCCCAGTAAAGGCTTTTTATTCTGCTTCTAGCCCGGTGACCTTTTCGATAGCAATAAGCTGGCATTCACTGAACTCTGGCACACACATCTGCCATCATATGAGATTTCACTGTCCCCTCCAGTTCTGCTCAGACTGGCCTTTGAAAGTCTGGACAGGTCGCAGAGCCTCCAAGAGTCCGTGATTGACTTTGTGCAGGACTCAGGAGAGCAGCTTGGACTTCATAGAAAAAGGATGTGTTGCGAAAGAAACAAATTCCCGTTAATCAACCTGTCCAGACAAATCGACAGCTACGAATTTTGTGTATTCTCAACACTTTTACACCTATACTTGTTTAGAGAAGTCTGTGTGAATACTGTAAATACTGCCTCAGGTTAGGGTTAGGGTTAGGGCTGGTAGATTAAACTGAGTTGTAGTTTCCCCATGTCTAGCTCCTGTTACATATATATATATATTATCAGTGTTTTATTTATTGTTCTATAGTTTAAATTAATGTAACATCTCAGTTCAACCATCACTTCAGCACAGCTTATCAACCATCAGACCCTTACATGTGTTTATAATGCACTTGGGATTACACATAGAAGAAGCCCCTCCCTTGGTGTTACTCTATAGCCTACATGATATACTAAACGTGCTTGTGTGTGTGTATATCTCCTTATGTTTTCCTTTCAAAGTTCAGTTTGTCTCTATTGGTGCCATCAATTTACAACCTGGAANGCTTGGACTTCATAGAAAAAGGATGTGTTGCGAAAGAAACAAATTCCCGTTAATCAACCTGTCCAGACAAATCGACAGCTACGAATTTTGTGTATTCTCAACACTTTTACACCTATACTTGTTTAGAGAAGTCTGTGTGAATACTGTAAATACTGCCTCAGGTTAGGGTTAGGGTTAGGGCTGGTAGATTAAACTGAGTTTGTAGTTTCCCCATGTCTAGCTCCTGTTACATATATATATATATATATATATATATATATATTATCAGTGTTTTATTTATTGTTCTATAGTTTAAATTAATGTAACATCTCAGTTCAACCATCACTTCAGCACAGCTTATCAACCATCAGACCCTTACATGTGTTTATAATGCACTTGGGATTACACATAGAAGAAGGCCCTCCCTTGGTGTGTGTATATCTCCTTATGTTTTCCTTTCAAAGTTCAGTTTGTCTCTATTGGTGCCATCAATTTACAACCTGGAAATGAATGAATGAATGCTGAAACCTGAGTCCCAGCAGGCCATTGCAGTTCATAACCAATCAAATCTAAATGAGCAGCCAAAGACGATTATTATAAAGGTGGTGCAGCATGTGGCTTATCTTGCCTATTTTAGCTCTCATGAAAGTTCATTTAATTAGTGTCATGATGAGAAAAAGTATCTTACGAATAGTCTCTAAAACCCTAACCCTCAACCCTAAACTTGAATATATCATATTTTGCATGTAACTGAAGGTAAGGTCATAAAATATAGGGGGAGGGACATCTTTAGATATTTATTACACATTTACTTTACTATGGTTTTGCGTTTGCAATATTGTCGCCATTGACTCCCATGGATTTACATTGAGAAACATAGCTCTGACCTTTCCTAAGCTGATCCTGATTAGAGGTTTCAGACAGACCCACCCCAGTACCACCCCCCACTCACCAACTGTGCCGCCTCTCAACAGGCTCCGGACTGACATTTCCTTAACAAACGAGTGCTCTGTCAGCAGCAATATGTCTCATTTCACACTGTAACCGTCACTTTTAGAGGGTGAAAGTGATGGAAAGAGACTGTGGCTTTTTCACGAGGCAACGATGACATTTTGTTTTATAAACTTGTTGCATTGGCTTTTTCATGAAAAGGCAGAACAGCAAAATAAGCACACATGTAGCTTTTCCTGCTGATTAACTGCTACTTCGACCTCTTTAAAAGTCAATCAGCATTGAAAAACAAATGAATCATTCAATAGAACTGTTTAACATCAGAGGAATAAGTCAACTCAATCCATTTCATGTCTTCTTTCATCTTTGCCAGAGCAAACCAAATCAGAGGAGCAAGATATAAACCAAACAAGCGTAAAGGAGAGATGTGTATAATTCATTAAGTCTTGCAGCACAAGTCATTGTTCTCGGTTTGATTAGTGATGGCTATCTGTAGTGCAAAACAGTTGGGCCTTGGTTATTATTTATGGATAATTCACTAACAGGCATCAGTTGAGACTTGACTGAATTATTCA